AATCATAAGTACACTTAATTGTGGGTATTCCTATAAAAGGTGTCAGAGTTAAATGAGATAAAACTTGCGCCCTAATTTCAATTTACATCAACTCAGATTACTTATATAGAACAGTAAAACATCAGTTCTGATGTTACAACCAAACAATTTTACTGGCACTTTCAGCTTAAGTTTTGGCAAATAAGAACAAAGTAAAGGAGGAAAGTAAGGTTAGTATTGCTACTAATTTTACTTTATCAAAGAGTGTGGTCCAACCGGATCAGCACGTCCCTTCTGCACTTAAGATTTCCACGACACGTCACCCAGAACACGTCAGTTTTACCTGGTGATGGCTTCTTAAACAACCCCTGGGTAGGAACTGTCTCACCTCCAATCAGTCAGGGAACTTTTTAATCGGCTCGCTTACTGTTCCTTGGAGAGAAAGGTGTTATTTCAGGTAACTTTTCATCTGTTTCAGTCCAAGCCAGAAAGATTCAAGCTGTACATCCGGTTCCTTCTTTCAAAATAAAATCTCCCCTCGGGAGTTAAAACACACTTGGAGGCGAGAAGCCTCGGGTGGGACATCCGGCTGGCGTGCCGCTGTCCCGGCTGTTAGATCTCCCCTAGTTAGCTCACGGGCTAAGACCTAAAAGCCAGCTAAGTCTCTCCCAAGAGAGAAACTCAGCTTTCTTCCCAGTTGGCATCAGAATGAAGAGTGTTGCTCAAAGACGTCCGTGGTTAGTCAAGGAAACGGACAAACTTTGGTTCCGTCCTCAAGCGTTAAGATGAGTCAGAGAAAGGAAGAAAGATAAAGACTTGCCAGCCAGGTGCCAGTCAAGGTTAAATTCTGTGGTTGTCCAACAACAGAATATGATAACATTTCTTTAGCTTTTCTTCTGATAGATTCTAAGAGAAATCACTGCAAAACTTTTATGATGATTAACATTTCTGTTTTATGATCAGTCTGAACGATTCTGTTAGTCCAGATGAATGAAAGATTTTCTCAAGAAAAATCCACAATTATATTACTGTGTTCACAGTAAAATAAAAACAGCGATTTACATAAAAACACAATGAAAACATTATAATTAATTATTTATCTTTTAGGCACGATAAAAGAGTAGAAGTGGTTCCACATTTCTTGTGACAGTCATTATCATGATTTAACAAAAGCATAAACATTCTTAGTTAAACAACAAATGAATCACAAACAGAAGAGATTGYTCTGYCCATTATCTGATTAAGAGAACTGAGGGGTTCTCTTCTGGGTTGAAATGACCTCTCGTGGTCTAAATAGAGTTCAGTTTGTGACAGAGTTCCTGTCCTCTTGTCAGGCCTGTGCGAGGCCTGCTTCGAGGCAGTAAATCTTGTTTCTTCACTCGAAGTGACCCCTATATTTGTCAGCACATAATCAGCTGTACAATATGAGGACCACGTGAAGACCATTCCCTGTCTGATTTACATCAGTAATGTCTGAGCGAGTCACATGCCTGCAAACGTAACACTCACAAGTGAGGTGTACATTCATCCAAGATTTTGTTACTGCGGACAGAATCAGATATTTCTTTATAAAAAATGAAAAGGCTTTATTCGTTTTTGAGAAAGCACTGTAAACGTGTTATTTGGGGTGGGGTCTATATTTGTAAAAAAAATTAGTAACAGCCAATACATTTCAATTCTGCGGGTCTACATTTGTTAAAGATACTTTATAAATGCACACTTTTTAGGCTAATAAATGTGGTTAAAATGAAAGTGTTGAATTCAGGAAAAAATTGGAAAAAGTGGAAATTAAAAAAATAAAAACTAATTTTGAAAAAAAAAAAGAAGTTTGTGTATAAATAATAAAGGCCTGAAACTAGAGTGGGCAGTGATTATCAAGTTTTTTTTAAATTTTTTAAAAAATTTCACTTAGTTATGAACATTAGTGCTCGATGATAATAACTTGTTAATAGAGATGGGTGACTCTTTTTGATGAACAATCACATGACATAATAAAAAGATACATAAACAAGTAAATTTACACACCCAAGTTCATTTACAAGCCCAAGTACAGACAGTTGAAGAATGGAGATCTGGACTTTCTTTATCAGTTTGACATTTGCTGTGACTTTATTAGAGCTGATGTCAGCTGTCGACTTGGGTGGTTCTGTAAATGGACTGACACAAAACACTGAGCCTATAGCTGACCTGATTGGTGCTGGTGTCAGTACTGAGTCTTCATCTATGAAGTGTAACCTGCAGGGTACAACTCGTTTACCTGCATCATCAGAGGATGGAGACATTTTCATTGGAGGTGTTTTTGCAATTCATCTAAAACTTGATGCAGTGATTTATAACTACACCACCAAGCCTGATCCTCCAAGATGCACAGGGAGGTTAGTAGGAGGGAACAAATGGGGGTAAAAAAGAAGAAAGAAGGATAAAATGTGTACATATGGAAAATGTGTGAATTGTTTTAAAGTGTGTTAAATTTTAAATTGTGTTCATTTTTTAATATATTTTTAAAAAAATTTCACTGTGAAATTTTGGATGGATAATTTTCCTACACGTTTTTCATGTGAAACAAATATTGGCTTTAGTTAATGATTCATGATCAATTAAATAAACTAAATAGTTCATAAGATGATATAAAAAACTGTATATTTAATCATTTGGGATTTTATGTTTAGATCCTATATTTTGTGAAAATTTTTTTGCTACATTTGATTTAATATAATGGTTTCGAGAAAGGGCAAAAAGATCTGTCCAGTGTTCTAAATTCAGGCTTTTGTGGGAGGGAGGAAAGTATGGTTGCATTCTTGTTTTTTTAGTTCAAAGTTTGTTTGTTTGTTTGTTTGTCTGTTTTGCCTTTTTTTTTAAAACTGTCAACACTCATCTAATTGATTTTTGTAGCCTTACATCCCGAGTCTTGCGCTTCTTTCGAACAATGATTTTTGCCATTGAAGAGATAAACAACAGCACAGAGCTGCTGCCAGGCATTAAACTTGGATACCAAATGTTTGACACATGTACTTCAGTGCCTGTGGCCATGCATGTAGCATTACAACTACTAAATAGCCAGAATCCTGTGTTTTACAATGACAAAAATTGTTCCCAAACTGGGATGGTGATGGCTGTTATTGGGGACTCTGGATCCTCACCATCAATTGGCATATCACGTGTCATTGGATCTTTCAATGTCCCTCTGGTAAGTAATGCAATATGTGGTTAATACAAAGCAAAATTTTAAAGAATGCATGTGGATTCTTATAATACTTTGCTTTAGGTGAGCTACTTTGCCACTTGTGCCTGCCTGTCAGATAAGCAGCAGTACCCAACATTTTTCAGAACAATTCCCAGTGATCAGTTCCAGGCTGATGCTCTAGCCAAGCTGGTGAAACACTTTGGCTGGACTTGGATTGGTGCTGTTCGCTCAGACTCAGATTATGGAAATTATGGCATGGCATCTTTTCTTGAAGCTGCACACAGAGAGGGGATTTGTGTGGAGTACTCTGAATCCTTCTATCGAACTGATCCACACAGCAAGATCCAGAGAGTTGCTGATGTTATCCGCAGGTTTTTGCATTTTTTTTATTTTGCTTGTACATACTCTGGATGAAAAACATTTGAACTGCAAACTTCAGAAACTGTCAAGAAATATAATATTGAAAAACATGAATTGGAAGTGTTTTATTGTTTAGTTTTTACTAATTTTTTAACAATAAAATCAAAGTACTGATACCCAGCATTACTACCTTTTACATTTAACAGTCAGTTTCAGAAAAAGTACTTTCTATATAAAATCAGGTGTATGTTGAATCAAACTATCTATTCCATTGCTCTTCAGGTCAACAGCACTGGTTATTGTGGCCTTCACAGCCTCTGGAGACATGAGTGTTTTATTAGATGAGCTGGCTTTGGAGCCTCCACCACCTCGTCAGTGGATAGGAAGTGAGGGCTGGATAGCTGATCCACTTTTCGTGAGCTTCAGTTTCTGTGCAGGAGCCATTGGAGTTGCCATTCAGAAATCTGTCATCCCAGGTCTGAGAGACTTCCTGCTGGATCTCTCTCCCAGTGATGTAGCTGCCTCCTCAGTGCTTACTGAGTTCTGGGAGGATGCATTCAACTGCAGTTTGAAAAAAAGTAAAAATGCAATTTTGTATTGTTAATTTTTTTGTGGCGTTTTGCATTTAAATGTTACAATTAATTTTTGAGACTGGAGATATTATTAAACATTTCAAACTAAACAGAACATCAAAACTCAACCAAAAAATAAAAACTGTTTTTTCTGCAAAAAATAGGATGATAGGATAAGGTATATACCATTTCTGTTATAAACAATTCTGTTTTGTGCTTTAGTTTAAACATATATATGCAATGAAATGTTTCAAAACTGTTTATGCAACAAACATAAATCTACCTTTTGAGGATAAGAAAAGATAACAAAAATGTTTAAAGAAATATTGTAATTAGTTGGGCACAAGATTCAACAATAATTGTACTTTTTGTTCATTAGAATTATTTTCTTTAACCTTTCAGTTTATTTTGGTATCAATTTGCAAACATAGAGGCTAAAAGAATATCAACACTTAATTAATTAATTAATTAATTAATTAATTAATTCATTAATTCATTAATTCATTAATTTTCTTGATAGCTCAAACAATTTGATTTTGCTATCTTGTATCATTAGGTAATGATCTTAACAAAAGATTGTGTGATGGATCTGAAGATATAAAAACACTTAAAAACCCGTACACTGACACATCTCAGTTAAGAGTTTCTAACATGGTGTACAAGGCTGTTTATGCTGTAGCTCATGCCATTCACAATGCAGTGTGTGAGGAAACTAACGGTACCACTCAGTGTGACAGACATGCCAGATTGAAGTCACAACAGGTCAGTTTGTATAAAAAGTACAATTTAATATTTGTCAAGAACTGAAACTTTTGTGACCTAATGAAGAATTACTCTCGTAAACATTCTCCCCACCACCAAATTTATTTTTTACTTCACAGGTTTTTACTGAATTAAAAAAAGTCAATTTTTCGCGCAATGGTTATCCTGTGTCATTTGATCCAAATGGTGATCCTGTGGCTTTTTATGAGCTGGTCAACTGGCAGAAAAGTGAGAGTGGACTTATTGAACTGGTAACAGTAGGATATTATGACGCATCACTGCCAAAAGGCCAAGAGTTTCAAATCAACAGGAAAATAACCTGGGTGGAGAGTGGCACAAAAGTAAGGAGACTATAGTAATGAGAAAATTTCAGATGAAACAGAACAGCAAAAAATTAATCATATAATAACAGAAGAAAATCAGCTGCAAAAAAATCTAATGATTCCTTTTATTCTCATTTGTGTGACAGGTACCAGTTTCAGTGTGCTCTGAGAGTTGTCCTCCAGGAACCCGTAAAGTGTTGCAGAAAGGAAAACCCATCTGCTGCTATTATTGTATACCATGTCCTGAAGGAGAGATCAGTAACATGACAGGTAAATATAAAATAATATAAATGCCTTATGACCTATTATATTGCCAAATGACAAATTTGTTTTATTTCCTTAGATTCTCTTGATTGTGTTGAATGTTCCAGTGAATTCTGGCCTAATACAGATAAAAATGCTTGTGTCCCCAAACCTGTTGAGTTTCTGTCCTTTAATGAAGTCCTGGCAATCATCCTGGCTATAATATCTGTTTTTGGAGCCTGTCTGACCATCATAACAGCAGCTATTTTCTTACGTCACAGAACTACTCCAATTGTCAGAGCCAACAACTCTGAGCTGAGCTTCCTGCTGCTCTTCTCTCTGACTCTGTGTTTCTTATGTTCATTAACTTTCATTGGAGCTCCCTCTGAGTGGTCCTGCATGCTGAGACACACAGCGTTTGGTATCACCTTTGTTCTCTGTATCTCCTGTGTTCTTGGCAAAACTGTAGTGGTTTTAATGGCCTTTAAAGCTACACTTCCAGGTAGTAATGTCATGAAATGGTTTGGGCCTCCTCAGCAAAGGATGACTGTTGTGTCTCTCACATTTATTCARGTTTTRATTTGTACTGTTTGGTTGKTWCTCAGCCCTCCATTTCCAATGAAAAACCTGAGCACATACAAGGAGAAGATCATCCTGGAATGTGCATTAGGCTCTGCTGTTGGCTTCTGGGCTGTGCTCGGCTACATTGGCCTGTTGGCTGTTTTTTGCTTTGTGTTAGCTGTTCTAGCTCGGAAACTACCTGATAATTTTAATGAAGCCAAGCTGATAACCTTCAGCATGCTGATATTCTGTGCAGTGTGGATCACCTTCATCCCAGCATATGTCAGCTCTCCTGGAAAATTTACTGTGGCTGTGGAGATATTTGCCATCCTGGCCTCCAGTTTTGGACTGATACTGTGTATATTTGCTCCAAAGTGTTTCATCATACTGTTTCAGCCAGAGAAAAACAGCAAAAAATACTTGATGAAAAATAATTAATTGAAAAGTATTGATTGTTTCAAAATTAAATAGGAAATCTTCCATGACACAATGATACTTATAGACCCTGCAGACCCTGTTTTCATTCATACATTTTATTTTTGTGTTACAAAACAAACATCAGACATATTGTCATGCTGGTGTAAAAACAAATAAAGAAAACAGAAAGAATGAAATCAAAACAACTGGCTGATATTTTCTGAATGAGGCCATTTTTGGGTTGGGCTAAGATACAGCATTCAGACTGGATTTAATGATTTGGCATTGTGTTAAGGTAACTTTTTACTGAGGTGGGAGAGAAAATAAATTAGTAAATTTGAATGAACTTTAAAATCCAAGTTCAGTTATGTGAAATCTTGTTCAAAACACAATAAATAAATAAATAAACCTTGTCATTGCCATTGTCAAGCTTAACATCCTTTACATGAATGAAACTAGCTATAACTATTATATGATCTAATTCATTTTACAAGAACTTCACATATACTATTAAATTTTAAAGTTTAATTATAGACAACAAATGCCTGAAACTACATTTTGCAGTGATAATCAAGTTTTTTCATTGTTATGAACCTTAATGCTCTATGATAAAAATAACATTTTTATAGATAGAGAGGGGCGTCTCTTTTTCCAAGAACAATCACAACATAATATAAATGTACAGAAACAAGTAAAAGCACACACCCACAAACAGACAGTTGAAGAATGGAGATCTGGACTTTTTTACTTGGTTTGAGATTTGCAGTGAGTTTATTGGAGCGTATGTCAGCTGTCGACTTGGGTGGTTCTGTAAATGGACTGAAACACAAGACTGAGCCTATAGCTGATCTGATTGGTCCTGGTGTCAGTACTGAGGCTTCATCTATGAAGTGTAACCTGCAGGGTACAACTCATTTACCTGCATCATCAGAGGATGGAGACATTGTCATTGGAGGTGTTTTTACGATTCACCCCAAACCTGACACAGTGGTTTATAACTACACCACCAAGCCTGAACCTCCAAGATGCACAGGGAGGTTAGTAGGAGGGAACAAATGGGGGTAAAAAAGAAGAAAGAAGGATAAAATGTGTACATATGGAAAATGTGTGAATTGTTTTAAAGTGTGTTAAATTTTAAATTGTGTTCATTTTTTAATATATTTTTAAAAAAATTTCACTGTGAAATTTTGGATGGATAATTTTCCTACACGTTTTTCATGTGAAACAAATATTGGCTTTAGTTAATGATTCATGATCAATTAAATAAACTAAATAGTTCATAAGATGATATAAAAAACTGTATATTTAATCATTTGGGATTTTATGTTTAGATCCTATATTTTGTGAAAATTTTTTTGCTACATTTGATTTAATATAATGGTTTCGAGAAAGGGCAAAAAGATCTGTCCAGTGTTCTAAATTCAGGCTTTTGTGGGAGGGAGGAAAGTATGGTTGCATTCTTGTTTTTTTAGTTCAAAGTTTGTTTGTTTGTTTGTTTGTCTGTTTTGCCTTTTTTTTTAAAACTGTCAACACTCATCTAATTGATTTTTGTAGCCTTACATCCCGAGTCTTGCGCTTCTTTCGAACAATGATTTTTGCCATTGAAGAGATAAACAACAGCACAGAGCTGCTGCCAGGCATTAAACTTGGATACCAAATGTTTGACACATGTACTTCAGTGCCTGTGGCCATGCATGTAGCATTACAACTACTAAATAGCCAGAATCCTGTGTTTTACAATGACAAAAATTGTTCCCAAACTGGGATGGTGATGGCTGTTATTGGGGACTCTGGATCCTCACCATCAATTGGCATATCACGTGTCATTGGATCTTTCAATGTCCCTCTGGTAAGTAATGCAATATGTGGTTAATACAAAGCAAAATTTTAAAGAATGCATGTGGATTCTTATAATACTTTGCTTTAGGTGAGCTACTTTGCCACTTGTGCCTGCCTGTCAGATAAGCAGCAGTACCCAACATTTTTCAGAACAATTCCCAGTGATCAGTTCCA